TCCTGCAGAGGAATTACAATTCAGATAAATCCTGCTTAAGTAGCTCATCTGATGCCCCATCTTGCAAATCCAAAAGGAGCAAAGCTAGAGAGAGATAAGCTGATTTTGCATCACAAAGAGGCACGGCCACAAGGAGCACCTCGTCTAATAAAGTGAAATATGCATTGATGAATTTACAAAAGGGCTTTACAGGGGCAACATTTGGTAAAACTATTCTATAGTTTGATCATCAAAACAATTTGCATTCCAAAATGGTACAAAATGCTGTATACAGTGTGTTAAATAGAGAGACTTTTTATTTAAACTAAAACTGAATATATTTGTTTTTTGGATTCAATTCAAATTCAAAACCTTTATTTATCCAGGTAAAATCCCATTGAGATCAATGATCTCTTTTTCAAGGGAGACCTTCAGACAAAAACAAGACATTGACAAAACAAGACATTTAAAAACATCACCTTGGATTTAGAGGGACTGGGATTGATATGTTTCAGTATTTTCTGACACAATTATTTGAATAATATAGAAAATACTCAGCAGAATAATCGCTAATGAACATGATTGGACATTGCAAACAGAATGTTCTAACATATGCCAGATAAACTACTCGCCCTGGCTTTAAACAATTATTCCTTGATTGTCCGCACAACAACAACAACAACAACAACAACAGCAACAACAACTGATCATTCATGTAATTATGAAAATGCAGCTGTGATGCTGTAATCGAAAAGAGAACATCTTTTTTGCAAGTGAATCCCAAGTGAAGATTTGAATAATATTTTGTTGTTTTGCGGCTTGATTAAGGGACACTGCAGGGACAGGAAGTCCACCTCCCACTCTCTCTTACCCTTTTCATCAAAACGACCTAAAGCTACAGTGGGCTGGCAATAATTAGTAGCCATTGGTGCCAAAAAGAGAGTGCATTATGCTGTTGTTTGGTGGTTTTGGGCCAATTGTGCATAATATAACCCAGACACTCAGGCTGCAGCTGTGCAAGAGGATCAGATGGGAAATAGTATCCTAGAGTAAACAGAGGTAGTGGATTAACTCTCAGATGACAATAGATGCTTGGTGTTTTCAGTCCTCAGAATAAAGAAAAGGTAGAAAAACCCTCTTTACTGCCTGTGCAAAAATGTTACACATGGATCTAGGCTTCAAGTCAAAATAAATCCTATATGAAATATGTCCATCGTTTCTGCATGATCGACATGAAAGAGAGCATCAAATCACTCTGATTTGTCTCGTCCTTTCCCTTACAGCAGAAGCATTCAACAATGAATCACTGCATGTTATCATCGGGGGGCGTTCAGGATCAGCAGCCCTCCCTCTGAATAATATCTGTTGGATTTGGCCAATCTAAAGTCACAGTCTTATCACCTTTCACTGGTTTCACCAACAGGCCTTTACAGCTGTCAGCCATTAGTAATTCTGCTGTTATCTGCTGGAGCACAGTCCACAGCCAGGACCTAACACACTCACTACACACATGCACACATATGCTCACACTGGGGGTTAGACAGATAACAGTTAGTCAAAAGGGCTTTTATTGAATATAAATAGGGGCAATGTAGTTTGTTTGAGAAACTCAGATAGCACCTAGAAAAATATTTGTAGGCTGTTAAAATGTTTATATTATTTAAATATAATATGTTTGAACGTTCACTTTGTTTATCTTCACCTCTCGGTTTAATCCTCAGTCTTGATAAAATAAATGGTATATTTGGAACACATGAAAGGCTTCTCAATTCTCTAATTTCCTCTCCTCAACTCCCCTCCTCGACTCCTATCCTCGTGTCTTAGTCCCGCCCACAGGAGATGTGAGCGGAGGAGTTGAGGAGGGTAACCGAGGAGAGAGAAGTGGAAGCAGCAGGCGGTTAGAGAAATGACAAATCCTCTCCTCTGAGCGGTCATTTTAAAGAAACGTCCATTAATTATGACAGGAGGCACAGCAGCACGCTGTCTGATGGACAGATGTGTTCATGACGACTTATATATTTACTTTTAATTAATTCAAAGTGCGGTATAATGAAACAATAACAGGCTACAGATGCGGACATATACACACACATATATTTATATAAATATATACAATTTCAGAATCAAACAAGTATGAGAGCACTCTCATAATAACGTAACACAATCAGAGACTGCCCCCCCCCCATTACAGCCAATGTGTATTTTATTATGTGAAGCATTAAATGGTTTTAGAAATATATAGACTCTTTGTTTGTAGATATCTACTAAACTAAAGCATACAAATAACGAGAGTAATGTAGGCCTGTTATACTGAGTGATATATATTGTACACACTGCTCTGCTTTCTGCACGGACCTCACAGCTGTTCTCAGGGGCGGACTGCGGGGAAAAAGTGGCCCGGGGATTAATTGACAGACAGGCCCACTTAATGCGCGCCATGTATCGGCCGGCCGGCGACGAAAGTATGTTACTTAACAAAAACCCCTATGCATTTAATGTTATTTTGGACAATTATTCATATAGTAATCACATTACCTGAGCCCTTGAGTTGCCAAGAGCAAAATAGTTACAGCATATATTTGGTGATTTTAATGTTAACAGATCATTGATGCAATAACATTTTGACCCAATTTGCCTGACTTGACACATGGAATAAAACATGGGCGTAGGAAGCATCCTCAATGTGGGTGAGACAATTTAACAGGGAGTGTGGGCAGGTGGTGGACCTCACCTCCTCTAGGGGGGTCCGGGGGCAAGCTCCCCCAGGACATTTCTTTTTTAAATGTTGAAGTTAAATGCATCAATCTGGTGCACTTTGAGAGCAAAATTAGGGACTAAATCTATGGCACTCTTGGACTGTGAGCCGTAGGGTCGCCGGTTGGAGTCCCCGACCAGACCTACATTTGGAGTGTGGACTTCTACTTGGAGAGGTCCCAGTTCACCTCCTGCCCTGCCGTGGTACCCTTGAGCAAGGCACCGGACACCCCCCTTCCCCCAATAAAGGACTCTCTCAGCGCTATCTCAGTGGGTCTCAAACGTTTTGGTCACCATTAATGTAAACAATTATTTCCGAGGCACACGTTTATATGATCATTATAGTTATACAAAAATAAGAGAATACATTAAAAACAAGTATGAAATACTATATGACATTACAAAATGAATAAAGTTTAAAAGGGGAGTGATTTGTAAAATATCCATAAAGAAAAAGTAAATCTGTTTACAGTTCTGTTTCATATGGGTGTTGAGAGATGTATCCATAGATCTCTTCATTTTGCTCTCAAAGTGCACCAGATTGATGCTTTTAACTTCAATATTTAAAAATCTTCCCGGGCGAGCTTGCCCCCGGACCCCCCTATGTGAGGTCCACACACCACCTATACAAATAGCACTTTACCCCTGCTTACACCTATATGCCGTGAGCTGATTATCGAGCCTTCATTGTAACTGTCACGGGTACACTGTGTATTTGCGTGGGGATTGTTGCAGTAGAAAATTCCACTGTAGCGCCGGGTACATTAATGAGAAACCCTAAATGTTTGAGCACCCTCTATGAAACATCAAGCTACCCCACAGCACCCCCAAAATAAATCTCTGGCGCCGCCACTGAGCCTGACTATTTGTGTTGGGGGGGGCCCAACTTTTTTTTTTCTCCAAAGGGGGGGCCTGACAGAAAAAGTTTGAGAACCACTGCTCTAATGGCGCATTTCCACTGCAGCGGGGTAGCCCCATTTAAGCGTCCCTAAGTGTCCTCGCTCAGGCCTCGGGCTGCCTCGCTGGCCGTCCGAGGCCGTGGCGCATTTCCATTACAGTTTAGGACCTGGGGTAGCAACGCAGTGTAGGCGGGGCGATCGGCTTTTTGGCGGGCTTTTTGGGCGGAGCGACGCTGGGTAAAACTGCAGTGGCGTCATCTTCAATGTGACACAACTCACAAAACTATCCCTTGCAAAGCTGGCTCTTAAAACCCTTCCCAGACACTGGACGGCTGACAGCAGAACATGTGGTATACAACAAGAACATTTGCAGCGCACGGGTAGTGGTTGAAAACGCATTTGGTAGACTGGTGGCGTTGCCTCATGAAAATAAATGACTGTGATGTGAAACTTGTGAAATCCATGGTGCTGACATGCTGTGCTCTGCATAACCTCTGCGAGAGTCATGGAGAGGACTATGATGATGGGTGGAATGCAGCAGCAGCAGAGGCTGGGGTAGCAGTGGCTCAAGGTGCAGAGGAGGAGGGCACTGACATCAGAGAGGGTTTGATGCGCTACCTGAATATGCATTGTATTGTATTCATTGTATTGAACATAAATACATCTTTTTTTTTTCGTATACATGTGTTTGTCAAATGTTGTTATCTGAATTGAATATTTAGTAAATATTTGAATTTCAAGCACCAGTAAGTACTGCCCCATAATAAGAACATTTGAGGAAATATCAGATCATGAAAAGAAAATCTTTCTAATAAATTAAGCGAATATCAAAGCTAACTATAAACATAAATACTAAAGTGTAAAACACAGCAAAACTATATTCATAAATGCAAGTGTAAAATAGTGTGGACAATTGTAAACATGGATGGAGGCTAAAGTATCCACAACATAAAATAATATATTAAAATATAATCTCAATCTTTCTTCTAGACATGTTAAAAGCTTGCTTGAATGGGTTATAGGTTTCTTCTTTTGTTCTCTCGTCTTTGAAATATATAAGGAATGTGTTGTTTGAGTCTAGTAGAACGAGGGTATTACAATTGAGCAATTTCTACATGTATTATGTATTTATCATGTATTCTTAATACTATTACAAAATAAACATGTAATAATGTTTTAGAGGAGGACTTCAAGCTAGCAAACTCAATTTCTTGCTTTAAATCTCTTAAAACTAAGGGGTTTTTTCCTAACTGATGGTGTTTGTTATTGCTTTATAAATTCATGTATGTTTATATCTTCTCTAAATCAAGATTATGTGAATCTGATTTTTTTCTGTTGGGTGCAATTAATTATCAACAAGAGATAAGATAAATAAAATAAGTACTTTATTGATGGCAGTATAAAAATACAAAAAAAATGTTGTATCAAAAAGGCATGCCATTAAACAATACAAATAAAAAATGTAAAACTGTATTGCAGCCAGCGTAAATATACATCGCATTGTAAAAATAAAAATACGATGAACATTTTAAAAGAAAATAAATAAACAAGAAAGTACAAATGTTGCATTTAAAAATTAACTAGATAACAAATATATAATATGTACAATAACTATTAAGGTTATTTTAAGTATCACGGAGGAGACGGGCCACGTCGGCTGCCCAGTCCCCCTAGCACCTCGCCAAGAGTGCGCAGGAAGGCTAGGTTGAAGGTCTCTGCTTGAGCAGCCTCCTCCCTTCTCAACTCCCATCTCCGCTCAGCAGACACTTTGGCCCAGTCCAAGTGCCGTTCCTGCTGGGCCATGTGCTGTTCATGGTGCCGTTCCTGCTGGGCCCGATCCTCTCCTCCTCGTTTCCTCTTGCCTGGGTGACAATAAGATAATAATTAGCAATAAGGAAAAAACACAGGACAGGTACAGGTCACACAAGGATATAAGAATAACATGTATAAACAGAACAACAGTAAGGTGAACTAAAGAAAGTTATTTCCCTAGATGTTTACAATGATTGTGAAAGTGAATTACATTATGTCCAGCCTGTTGATAATGAATATAAATATATGTATATGATAGGATGTCACACACAACTGTACTAGCTGCTTACTAGCTAAGACTTTACTTGTAACAGAGCATTTCCACACAGTGGTATAGCTTATTTTAAATTACTGACGATGGATGATCCAAGGTTTAAAAAAAACTCAATTCCAGTCGTTTTGCCATTTCTATTTCTTACCTAGAACCACACGCTGCAGTGTCGTGATGGCACTCGGCGTTGGTGGTTGAGTTGGTGTCGGTTCTTCGGCTAGTGTCTGTGGTCGAGCTGGGGTCCGTTCTGGATTCGATGACGATGTTGTGGACGGAACACTGCCATCACCCGTTGTTCGGGAATGTTCCTCCTCACGAGTCCCAATGTAATCATTTAGAACAGCAAAATGACTTGTTAATTCCACAAACTACTGCAGCACAATACTAAATAGCAACAACAACTATAGAAAAGAAAAACTGAACGTACACAATGGCACATATGGTGTTAGCAAACAATAGCTCTAGCTAAGGCTATCTGCCTTAGCTAGCTATGTAGCTCTTCGGGGCTCCATAAAAGCATGGGTTGTCGAACATTAATGTAAGGATAAAATAGACTTCTTTGTTATTAGTGAGCGTACCTTGCAGGGACTCCAGTAAAGCCGTTGCAGAGTCCAGGCCTCCCTCCCTCCCTCCCAACGTTGGCCGGTCTATGACCATTAATCTGGTCCAACAAGTCGAACCACTTCCATTGTTTCCTACCCGCACCACTCGTGTTATTGTTGTCCTTTACTTGGCGATATTCACTCTTCATCTTTTTGAGTTTTTCCCTACACTGCAGGAAAGTCCTCGAAAATCCGCGTTCGGACATCTGTGCAGAGACATCCTGGAACACTTTCACATTTCGCGTTGTTCCGTCGAGCTCCCGCTGGATTTTATCATCCCCAATGAGATTAAGGAACGTCGTCACCTCCTCGGTCGACCACGGTGTGCTTTTCTTCGACGTTGCCATTTTTGTAGCTCCTCCGTTTACAAAATGCTGCAAGCTTGCTTCTAGATATATATGCGACGCTAGGGATGATCTCACGCGCGATCTTGTGACTCTCTGACCAATCAGCAGTCGAGAGTGTTGACGTCACTAGTTCAGCCCTGGCCTGATAGAACCACGATTTTATGGGGCCGGAAAAAGTACCCGCTAGCCGGTGCTAGGCTATATGGATATGGAGGTTATTCCCTATCTTTATTCAAGAGCGTGGTATTTAAATTTGAGAGCATACTTTATGTATTTATTTCCCTCAAACCCTGTCCTCACACTCAAATAGTGCCTGTGTCAGTACCAGATATGTTCGGCCTACCAAATATGTTCGGGTGTATTTCCGTCGCATCCGTCATCCGTCATATCCGTCATATACTCACCTCCCTCTGCTCCCAGCGCTATGCTGCCACACACCGGCCGTCTGCGGAACTGCAGCCGGAGGAACTCGGTACAGCTTGTTATGTGTGAACGATCTAGATCCCTCCGCTTCCCCATAATTACCGCGACCATTTTAACTTTCATGACAGAAATGGAGAGCTTTTATGCTGAGATAAAGCAGTACGTGCTCAATGGTGGTTACCACAATCTCACCATCGCCGCTGAAAAGCATGATAAAAGGAAGGCGTTAATTCGGAGGGCATCCAAACAATACCTGATCAAAGGTAAGTAACAGAATAAGACCATGGTTAAGTCACGAACATACGTTTTTATTATGAGGTATAAACCCCCTGTACATGTGACATCATCACATCCCTTTACTTATAGGGATCAATAAAGTATATATCTATCTATCTATTTATCTAATGGTGTTTTTTGGTGCAAAAGTGATCATACCTCTAATGGTTTATCATATTGCAATTCCAACATTTTTCAGTAAATCGCAAGGACTCCACAGCTTGTTTCTCCTTTTTCTTTTTATACACACTTTACATTACTGTAGTTGTTACGTCTAAACCACATTTGCCACTGGATTTCTTGAACAGCTTTTAGTCATAATGTCATCTCTACACATGTCTAAATGATTGTTTTGTTGTTCCTGTTGTGCCAGCTGGAGATTTGTACTACACATACAAGGACAATGAGAGGATGGTTGTGTGCACCAAGGACCAAATTATCAATGTCCTGAAGGAGTGCCATGATAACCTGGGTTCCGGAGGTCATGCAGGGAGAAGGCGCACCACCGAGAAGGTTTTGGCAACGTACCACTGGTCCACTATGCGGGAGGACGTGAAGAAATGGGTGGGAGTTTTTGACTGACTGACTGATTATTGATCTACAGAAATGTGTTGTATGTGTACATTGAAACAGAGTGAGACATGTGTGGATCTCATTGGCCCACTTCCCTCCACTGCTAAGGGCAAAAGGTACTATCATGATGGGCTGAAGCATGTGTAACCTCCTTTAAAGGTTCTAAACGTGAAGAATCTGGTTTAAAAAGAAAGGAAATCATTTACAGTGATTCTGTATGTATTTACAACATTCTGCATTTTATATTGCAGATACATTCTAACAGCGACTGATCTGTTCACGAAGTGGGTGGTAGCAAAAACGCTCTACCACAAAACAGCTGTTGAGGTCTCAAAAAAGATTGTAAATATTCTTCTCGATTTCGGTCTTGTCGAGAAGATCATTACCGACCAAGGACGGGAATTTGTCAATGAGGTACAATAATCTATCTAATACAGTGTATGTGTTATGTGTAACAATGTAATACGATTTTTCAGGTAATTTGGTAATTGGTGTACACTAAACCATCTGCAGGTCAACCGTGGTGTTTTTGATGCACTGGGTGTAAAACACTGCATCACTTCAGCGTACCATCCCCAGTGCAATGGCCAAGATGAGCGTACAAACCAAAACATAAAAAAAGCACTTGCAAAGTACTGTGGAGAGGACCAGAATGACTGGGATTTACATCTGAGGGGCATTGTGGCGAGCATTAACACCTCAAAGCAGGTACAATGTTGTAACAAATGCAGATGGAAACAATACTCAACAGAGATACTAAAAGGAATTTTTATGCTTTCAGAGGTCAACCAAGTGCACGCCCTATTTTGCCCAGTTTGGGAGGCACCCTCGCGTCCCGGGTGTTATAAATGCTACAGTCAATGACAGGGATGATACCTCTGTTTTGGTGCCTGCTGATGAGGCAGAACAGCAGCTTGAGGCAAAGGCTGCAACCATTGCAGATTTGCACTCGAAGGTGAGAATAAAATGGCAATATTTAAAACATAATAACTCCTAAAAAATGCAAGCGTATGTTAAGGACTGTAAATGATAACTGTTACATATCTTTCTCAGATTTACCAGAACATCCAAATAGCACAACAGAGACAGAAAATCTCTTTTGAAAAACGCAAGGGAAAGAATGTGAAATCTTTCCTGATTAACGTTGGAGATGAGGTCCTAAGAGCGAATAAGAGGAAGGAGGGCCGAAAAGGTGGAAAACTGGAGTGCAACTGGTTTGGCCCTTATGTGGTTTCCTCAATCACCAACAAGGGTGTGGCAACCCTGTTGAGCTCAACAGGAGCTCAGCTGAGACAGAGTGTGAATGTGTCTCAGCTGAAGCCCTTTATCAGGCCTATGTTGAGAGGTATTTTGATTATCAATACAAGGACACATTTTAGGTATACTTCATGTGTGGTACTTCAATAATACTGTTTATTTTGTGTCTATCTAATAACAGCTGAACCGAAGTTGGATTCGGAGGGGTCAGTTGCTGACCACCAGTATGCCCTCTCTGGTGCGAAATACGCAAAGGATCTACATCCGATTCAAGACAAGCTGGTAGATATATGTTTACTTCATGCACAGTGATGGAGGTGCATTGTTTTGATTTTAATTTTTCTATGTTTTCTATTGGCTTGAAGTATGTTTTGCAATCTGTTATTTGCAGCTCAGCTATGTGCTAGACCACAATAGGCCTGGAGCAGAGGTCATTGTGAAGGAGGGTGATGTGTGCCTGACCAGAGAGGACTTTTGGAGCCTGGGTCTTCCTCAGTGCATGGAGTCAAATGTAGGTATACTTGAGCTTTCCTCCCAACTTCATCTTGTCTCAAATAAATGGCACAGGTAACTTACTGTTGTTACTGTTTCAGATTGGAAACACGTGCCTGAAGATGGTACAAGAAGCCACCCAAAGACATGTACGGTTTTCAACAGACATCATTGGCCTGCTTTTTTCTTTTGAATAACACATATTTTCTAAATAGCTGTTTAGTGGTGAAACTCCAATCTCGTGAAGTGTGGTTGTCTCTTGTTGTTGAACATACTTCTATGAAGATTTCATTTTTTTTGAAAAACTATCAATATAGGGCAAAGATATATACATCGTGGATATGTATGTGGTTCCTACCTGGAAGTCCAAAACAGCTGACGTGTTGGCCAGTTTTCCAGTAAGTTCCTGTTGCTTGAGACCTATGTTTCTTGAAATTGATATACAGCAACTTAAAATCCCTTGTTTAAAATACTAGGCTGACCAATTGGCCACCAAGGACATGGTTTTCATCCCTGCCTGGAGTCGGCAGCAAGGAAAGGCAGATCACTATTTGCTTTGCGTGAGTCTGTTCCAAATGATCTCACCAGCATGTACAAAATGAACATAAGTTGTGGTTTTCTTCTGGTGTTTGATTATGTCTAATTTCAATGGTTGATCAAGCCAGCACAGAGAGAGTTATATTTGCTCGACCCTCTTAAGCCAGATGGCTTTGGGGACAATTCCTACAAGGACATATTTAGGTTTTTGTAACATGATTACCCCCTCACCGTTCTGTGGCTTGTATGGGAGTTCTAAATAGTTTATAGTATTCTAATACTGCAGTAACCATCTTGTAGACCAGGGGTCTGAATCTGATCAAATTCATTTATAATATATCTCCATTTCCACAAAGTCTGGAGTGTCCTTAGTGGAACCAAAAGAAAAAGAGTCTGCAACAGGATGCTATGAATTATAATATTCATTTTGTTATAAGCCTTGTTCAAAGGTTGTTTTCAAGTTCAGCTTTGTTCAGCGGCTGGTAAACGTATTTTTGTTTGTTTTATTTTAGCCCCGTTCAGTGGCTTTCATAACTTTCCTCTTTTAAGGCATGCAATAGTTCAATGTAAGGAAATCCAAAAACATGAATTATATTGAGTATAGCGTTCCTTCACCAAATCAATTCCCATGTCTTATCATTTCTTTTGACAGTGACCTAGCGCACCGCATTGCTCCAGGTCAGTGGACAGTAAAGTTCGGCAGAGACGTCAAGGTACATTTCTCCACCATCTCATACACCTGCTTTCACATGTCTTTATTTTCCATTTGACCATGAACATCACTGTTATATTCCAAATTCTTACAGGGTTAGCCTCACCAAACCACGGGCAATGACTGTGGTGTCTTCATACTGATGGTAAATTCCTCCCTTGACACTTTTTTTTAAGGGGTTTTGTTAGTTTTTGAAACTCATAACTTAACAGATCTTTATCCTTTCACAGTATGCACTCAACTTCAGCACAGATGCTCTACTTTGGTTTACCGAGGTCAGTATTTATCCTCTGAGTTAGTATTTCAGGGGGAAGAGGGGGCTAACATTGAGTAGACAAATGATGAGGTTCCATTCATTTTCAACTTTATTATTGTTACATTTTCTTTTAGCGGGACATAGCACAGATCCGGAAATGGTGGTGCATTATGCTCATGGAACGGTACCAGATTGAAGGGTAAATCATACATTTTAAATGTTACTTTATAGACAACAGTTTCTTTGACACTGATTTACATTTTCATCCTGATATTATGTGATTTTTATAGCCACGGACAGATCCAGATTATTTAACACATGCATACATATTGATAATTGTATACACATGTAATTAAACAATCACATGACCCACACCTTATATTTTCCTTCAAAGGTCCAGTTTCAAAAGTCCGACATGTGCTTCATATTGGAGGTAATATCTTTTCAGTGAAGCAGTAACTGTTTTTTGTTTAAAAAACGACCTGTGATCACGGCA